GAGAAGTAACTCTTTTAGGCCAAATGGCAGAGGCTGGCATTTAGGTCTGCCAGACCCCTGTTTTCAAAACTGTTTTTCTTCCTAACATGGGTGACTTTTCAGTTAACTTGTTTATATGAACAAACCTGTTGGCAGCAGCAAACTCAGCATGGAAATTCAATAACTGTTCTTTTCTGGCAGCACGAGGAGACCTTAGCTGAAATCCCAGAAGAGTAGATTCTGATTTCTCAGCAGTTTAATGGCAGTCTTGGAAGTAAATTTTTGTTGAATATTATTTGTGTAGATTTAATTAACATCAATAAACTGTAATGAATAATGGTTTTGCTGAAATGCAGTTTCTAGCTGAAAACTGTTCTGGCAGAAATTCTGCAGGCTTGCTCTCTTTCTTTCCAGATCAGTACAAGGTTGGGTCATACTGATGGAGTTGTGAAACCAATACCTGCATTGCTTCTGCATAAATTATATTTGTCCTCTGCTTAAATACTCAGTCACCAACTATCTCTGATGGTATTCTTTAGGTATGTTTTGTCAGTTCTTGTTAAACTTTTGAGACACTTTGAAATTGGCTGAAAACATAAGGAAAAAGCAAACAGTTAATCTCTTTCTTGCTGCAATTATTTTTACCACAGAAGATGGAAAGGTAAAGCTTATATTCAGTGGTAACTAATGAGCAAGGAGTATCACTGTAATGAAACCTAAAAGTTCAATCTAAAAGGCAAAGGCCAAAAGGCCAAGGCCCCTCTTCATAAAAGACCCAGTTCTTTAAAGACACTCTGACAAAGAGTAGCATTCTGTAATTCTACCTTTGGCTGACTGTTGTTGTGGATGTTTAGGAGAATGACATAGGTATTTTACTTGTAAGTATCAAAAAGGCAGAGTTTGTTGGAAAGATGGTAAATACTTCTGGAATAATTTTAGACAAACAGAACAAAGTATGTCTGGTATTTCAGAGAACCTGGATAATAGGATTGCCACAAGCTTTACTTAGATGTGTCTGCTATAAAGAAACAAATGCTAGAGCAGAATTTCAGGATGAGACAATCGAGGTAACAGGAGGTCCCTGCACTTCAATGCATAAAAAGCAAGTCAAAGCAGGAAAAGATCGCCATGGATTATATACAGTTCACTGAGGATCTCTGCTTCGTGTGATCAACATAGCCAAAACAAGCAAACATAATATCTGAATTCAGAATGAGAAGAAATAAAATATAAAAATGCCAGTTTATTTAAAAGGGCCTTACATGCTTCCAAAATACTGATGTACTACCCCCATAAGAAAATAGATGCTTCCAACAGAGAAATTCAAAGAAAGATAACAGTAAAGACAAAACAACCACTCAAGGAAAAAAAGGAATAAAAAGACTGTCTGACTTTCAGAAGAAACAAAAGATATAAAATAAAAAATAAGGGTTCATAAAATGTGAAATAAAGTGTATGAAACTGAGAGAAACCTATGTTTCTGTCTCCCAACAGATGATAGTATAAGTAGCCGATCAAAACAAGTTACCGCACCACAACAGGATACTCTGAAATTCAAAGCAACTACATGTAATAGACAACAAAAACTCCACGAGCTGCAAAAACACTGGGCTTTCATTCACTTGCTGATAAAAATTCATATGACCAGTATAAATATTGTTCTGGGAAAAAAAAAAAAAGGAAAACTAGAACCATTCTCCTTTTATAAACATGCACCCTTAGTTTTTTGTGTGTTACACAAGGTTCACTGAAAAATCTTTTTATTCTGTATTTCTTTACGAACACAGTACTAATGTGTTCTTGAGAAAAATGCCTTCTGTATGTTTCTGTAATTAGTTTCTCACTTCTTAGTTACTTGTCAATAAGTAACCCCTACCTACAACTATGTCAAATCTTTATCCACACAAATTATGCAGGGTGCATTTTTCCTTTCAGTTTCTACCTTCCATTTGGAAGCCCATCTACTTTTGGTTTGGGAACGATCTCTTCTACATTTGCTCTTCTACTTTGGCCCAAGTCTAAGCCTGGTTAAAACCTTAATTTAACACTGTGCATGAAAACTTTGTTTTGATGCAAAGATTACAACCAACTCTTTTGTTTTCCTTCTGTCAGCCCTCACTTGTCCTAAGTACTTTGGCAGGGTCCCAAGTACACTAACAGGCCTTAATAAGCCCAAAAGCCTCACCTGCCCCCTGCCTGTGGGCTCAGGAGCCCCATTTAAGCCGAGCCCTGGGCCTTCAGACTGTACTAGAGCTGTAAGAGCCTCTAGCTTAGTGCTGGCTATGCTTAACCATAGGTCACGTTCACCTGAATCTTCGCCTTCAGACCAACTTCCTAGCTTGCCTTCAGTGTTTTCTTATCAGTATGAACCTACTTGGTAGTCAATAGCTTATGCCTGTTGCTAGTACGATTTTCTCCTCTTGTTTGCAGCCTGAGTATTAATCATTTGAGTCTCACTCTATAAATGTTGATATTTCAATATGGAAAGAATGAGTTGTTCTCCCTTCATTGTTACTAGCCCTGGTGACTTAAAACCCCTCTGAAGCTGAGAACAGACTCTACTTGTTCCATTAATTCTGATTTCCTCCCCCCCTCCTCCCAACAGCAGTCTGGGGAAAAACAAAACAATCAAAAATATCAGCAGCTATTTGCTGTGTCCCTTCTCATACTGTGTTAAGGGTTAAGCATAATGCTGAGTTTACAGAAATTGAGGTCTAGCCCAAAGATAGTACAAATCACTCTCTCTGATGCTACACCTCTACTTTCAAAAGCAGCTTGCTTTTGCTGTGGCAGATTCCCAAATTCTTTAAATCTTTCTCTTCAAAGCCATAATTTCAGGCCTATGATTAATACAGAAGAAAAGACCAATAAATGAAGCACATTAAATCCTAAGTCATCTTCCCTTTCCAATTCTAACCATTCAGAAGACAGACTTGTTAAGTATGAATAAACCATAGATTTCAATCCTTTTTCTTCAGAATCTTAAGTGCAACTGTGGGCTTTATGCTCAGCATTGCCAAGCCAATCACACAGTCACATATTTGTTCTCACTGAAACCTTCCTTTTTAACAACTAGGTCAGCATTTTTAAGGAAATGGGCTCTATGCAGCAGCTATTCAATTTCCCATCACTACCCATCACTCTAACACCAATATAAGATGATGCAAGAAAGCCGTGCTTGATTAGAAGGCCAGTCAGGCATAAAGCAACCAGCAGGAAAACTCTATTTACTTCTGGATCACCTGGGATTTTAGTACCTGCAGGCAGGTAAGAAAGAAATAAATACAAGTAAGAAGGGCATTTAATGTTGAACAACATCCCAACTCTATGTGGTTACTCGTATCTACAACACCATTCATTAGAACTACACTAAGAGTTCATTTAAACTTCATGAAAGATAATTCAACTGAGGTTAAGCACAAAACCTCTTCTGAATTGGGAGTCGGGCTGGGTGACTCCTGGTCAGTGCAAGGTTGGCTTTGTCTTTGGTATTGAGCACCATCTAGTGGTCCTCAAAGTGACCGAGGAGATGGACTTTGAGCCTTTAGTTGTGGGTTCTTCTCAACAGTGTCATTTTTTTCCAATGACAACTGCAGCACCATACACTTAGTCCTCATCTATCTGGGATATAATCCAAAACACTACTTTCTAACATATTTTTCATTGAAACATCGAGCATAATAGCACAAGCCATCCTAAAACTGATTTTGCAGAAGCTATATATACTGTCTTAAAAAAAAAAAAAAGAGAGGGGAAAAAAAAACCAACAACCTACTATGTCCCCCAAGAAAAATGGCAGAAAATACTAGGTGTATATATTTACCCCCTACTCCCCCCCCCCCCCCCCCCTAAGTAATTGCTTTAATATCTTGCATTCGATGCCCCTTTTAAAATTTTCTGTTATTCTTCTTTTTAATTATAGCTGGGTGTGTGTGAATTGTGGCCATACTGTTTCTCTATAACATCACTTTTATCTTCTCATCTCTCCATATTTCCTTTTTAATGATTTGGATCACCAACTAGAGAGCAGAATTTGATGCTGATTGCCAACGAGCCAGACACTTCCAACACAAACTGAGCATTAGTCAAGGCGCTGACAAACGAAATGGATTTGAAATACATTTCAGTCACAGTAAATTCAGTGTATGGAGCAGTTCAGAAAGAAGCGTAAGATGTGTAAAAAAAAAAAGCATAAGTAGTATTAGGAAGTGTTCAGAAAGGAGCATAAGTAGAATTAGGAAACAGCAGTTTATTTATGACTGTGGTATATTAAAAAATTAAGAAAAAAGTTTACATTTTACGTGCAATGCTATGCAATTCCTGAATTGTTTTAACTAGCGCAGGAAACCTGTTAACCAGTTATTGAATTCAGATGTTGAAACACATTCTAAACACTTTCCAACCATGATTGGGATGCAAACTGGTGAAGCATATGGAGGTGACAACACACATTTTTTGGTCAATTTAATCACAGAATCACAGAATTGTAGGGGTTGGAAGGGACCTGGAGGGATCATCGGGTCAAACCCCCCTGCCAAAGCAGGTTCCTTAGAGCAGGCTGCCCAGGTAGGCGTCCAGGTGGGCCTTGACTATCTCCGGAGAAGGTATTTAGAAGACTTTCTGGCTTACGTTTTTCCCTGTGATTTTTTTTTCCTAACAATTTAATTCAGCAGCAATGTGCAAGCAGTAGGCATTTATGTATAAACACCTGCTGCTGCACACTACGTTGTCACCGGAGGGGCTGTTCCACAACACGCTGCCCCCCACCAGCATTTTGTTACTTTCTGCCACCGGGGCTCCCCCCCCGCCGAGCAGCCCCTGTGTGAGACCAGCGGCCTGCGACCCTCCCCGGCGCGGTACTGGCGGAGCGGCCGCCATTTTGGGCGAGGCCCCCACCGGCACGGCGGGGCGCGGGCCCGAGCCAAGATGGCGGCCGGCCAACGCGCCGCCCGGCCAGCGCCCGCCCCGCCGCGCCGCGCCGCGCCTCTCCTCGCCTCGCCCCGCCTCGGATGCGGCCGGGCGCGCCCCGGCAGTGGTTGTCCCGATGCCGGAAGCGGCGGGGTTCCGGGCCGGCCGGGCGGCGATGGCAGTGGGCCGGCAGCGGTGGCGCGGCTGGGCGGGAGCCGCCGCCTCCCGGTGCGGCGGCGCGGGCTGAGGGGAGCGGGCCGCCCGCCGCCGCCCTCCCGCTCCCTGCTTCTCCGCTGGAGGAAGGTGAGGGCACGGGGGGAGCCCCCCAGGGGGCGCGGGGAGCTGAGGTAGAAGCCGTCTCCGGGGGGAGGTGGGGAGCGGGCGGAGCGGGCCCGTCCCGCGCGGGGTGCCGCGGGGCCAGCGCTGTCCCCCCGGTACCGGCAGGAATCCCCTCACGGTGCGCTGCTTCACTTTGCTGCGATTTTAACGGGGTGTGGGCTTTGACTCGGTGCATTCCCTGGGAAGCTTTTATTTATTTATTTATTTTATTTTATTTTAGTGTGAAGTGCTGGTAGCCTTCTCAAATATGTCTAACTTCTGGGAAAAAACGCCTCACGGCTCAGCTGTGGGGTAAATGTGCACTCTGGAGCTTAAAAATCCGCTGGGGAAAAACTTACCCAAACAGCTTCTTAGGTGTTTCTACATCGTCTAACCAAACGTATTAACTCAGTGTGTTACAAAGCTGGCATACTGTTAACTTATATAGAAGTATAAGCTAAACAAATATGCCTCAAAACTAACAGATTTCTGTGGTGTTTCCCTGCACATTCGGCTGTGGCAGCCACCTGAAGCGAGGCAGCGCGAGGGCCAGAGCAGCTTCCCCAGATCCTGCCAGGTCAGGGCTGAGGATGTGGAAAGCCAGAAAGTCTTTGGGGAATGGTGCCCAGAAAGATTAATTTGGCCTTGGGAAGGGGGAATCCAAAAAGATGCAATGGCTTTGGTGTCAGTGGTGTTAAACTCTTGCATAATTCTGTTAATAGTTACAGTTCTGTGTGCATAAATAATAAATAAATAGTTACAGTTCTGTGTGCACACTGTCTAGTATATTTGGAACCACTAACTAGCTTGTGATATATTTTGTTTAGAACAGTTCTCCAAAAATTGACTTTAATCCTCTCAAAAATTCTTAGGAAAGGCTCCCATGGTCTACGGCTGCGTAACTGTGCCTGGTAGAGCTCTGAGCAGCTGCAGTGGAGCGGTGGCTCGCCCTGCCCTGCCCAGGGATCATCTTGAGGGAAAGCAACAACTTTGCTATTAGTGAAGGTGCTTTGGCTAGTGTGCTTGTGGCTGGTTTCAAGAAGGCTTCAAGTCACTTAGACCCATACAGCCAGCAATCTTAAAGCAGCTAAAGGTTGAGCGCAGTGGGGTGTGTGTGTAGCTTCAATTACTGTGCTTTTTTTTTTGTGTGTGGGTGTGTGGGGGTCAGTTGATGGGTGTCTGGTTTGTTCTGCAAGGAGTTGGTTACTGATACCCAGGTTCTCCTCCTTTCCTCCAGAAGGCGTAGTGCAACTGTTTTCCCAGGTAGAGCAGAAATACAGTATGTTACATGTAACACCCTGTAGTGCATATCCTCACCTGTGCAAATGGATACAAGTACACAGCTTTAGTATGTATCTTCTCATGTGTAAATTTAAAACATCTTTTTTTTATAGGGTTCCTTGATGGGCACTCAGCTAAAGTTTAATTAAACTGGATGTTGGTGCGCTGCAAACGAGTAGTGATGCTCCAGTTACTAACTGGCTAGCAACATGTTTGTTTTAGACACAAAAGAGCTGTACAGGAACTCTGAATTTATGGAAAGTCTCATATAGCCTCACTCTGTGGCTAGAATCACCGGTAGCAGGTTGGATGAATAACTTAAATGATTCACAACTTCTGTTCTGTTAACTCAGTACTTGACTTTAGCCTGGCAGAACTTACTACCTAGCAGGCGCTAAACTCAGCTATTTAGAAATGTGTGCACGGTTTTGTTTGCTTTTTTTTTTTTTTTTTTACTGGTGTGTTGGGAAAGTTATAAAAGTTACCATATGAAAATCAAGCATCACCTCTATCCCCCTTCTTCACACTGTACTGAAAATGTACTTCTTGTTTTGCTACAGGTGCAGAGCATGGAGAATGATGAACTTCCGCCAGAGGATGGGATGGATTGGTGTGGGGTTGTACTTGCTAGCAAGTGCTGCAGCTTTTTATTATGTCTTTGAAATCAATGAGACTTACAACAAACTAGCACTGGAGCACATTCAGCAACATCCCAAGGAACCACAGGAAGGAACCACATGGACGCACTCCTTAAAAGTACGACTGCTATCCTTGCCTTTTTGGCTGTGGACTATAATCTTTTTAATACCATATTTACAGATGTTCTTGTTCCTCTATTCCTGTACGAGAGCTGACCCCAAAACTGTTGGCTATTGCATCATTCCTATCTGCTTGGCTGTTATTTGCAATCGTCATCAAACATTTGTGAAGGCCTCTAATCAGATCAGTAGATTACAGCTGATTGACACTTAATTTCTAGTTTCCGTAGCCGTTTTGAAGCAATTGCGTACGCCTGATCTAATCACGAGACTGAAGTTCTGAGTGAAGGCTGCAAAGAGCCTTTTCTTTCAAACTGTTAAGCAATGAACAGTGACTGTTTTCTATTTAAAAAAAATAATTACAAAAGTTTTTTAAAATATGGGTATATCCAAGTGACTTGAGTGGGAGAGCCCTGTGTGACACTTGATGGAAATATTCCTCATTTTGCCTTAATGATGCAAAATTGCTACACTCCATCTGAAACGTTCTGTGGGGAAATAAGTTTCTGGTCCATAACTTTACTCCTGTGCAAAAAAAAAAAAAATGACTTCTTTTGTTTTCCCTTGGAGTAAAATCAATGAACAGATGCTTCTTTTGTGATAAATGTAAAAGGACAAAAAATCAAACTTGATTATAAAAGTTGCACTTAGCACAATTCTTTGCTTTTTCTTTTAAGTAATCCATATCTACATCAGTGCTGGTTTTTAAGGAATTTTAAAAAAAATAAATTTAGGAAATACAGGAAGCAAAGAATAAAGTATGTGCAAATCTTTAAAGAGATAAAGGTACTTTTTGTCTGTGGCATCATATTTTTTTTTTTTTTCCCCAGTGACCAGAATACCACGCTGTAGCAGGCAGGCAGTGAGGGGTGGCACAGGCCCGGAGGCTGGTGCTTTACGCTTTTTCCCTATGATGTCAAAAGCAGCTTGTGCTGGCATTGGGCTGTAGCATGCACAAAATGTGGTTCTTAAGTGTTGCCTTCTCCTACCTATAGGAATCTGCTTTGATAAAAAGCGATTGGAGTTTACTGCCATTCAAATTTCCACTCCAGACATGTAAAAACATGCTCTGTGAGCGCTGATGAATTAACAAAACTTCAAATTTGGGAAAGTGAACTGATAATAGGTTGGGGGATGCTCTAAGCCTGTTGTAAGACAGATACTATGTTTCTTCCAGAAATTTGAGTGAGATACATTCTCCTTCCTGCAGTGAATACAGTTTTTCCTCAGTCATTCTGAAATTCCACTGACATTTCTTACCCTGGTTTCAGCCCGTTTTCCAGTGCTATTTTGGTATATCATTTAATCCTAACTACCGGATCATGTATTTTGAATGATGTCAAATCTGTTCTTTCTTTTCTCCTTTTTTGTTTCATAGTATAACTACGTTTTTGAGCCAATGTGAAAGTAACCTGAATGTGAAAACAGTGCAAAATACGGACTTGGAAAGTAGCAGGCCCTAAACGTTATGAGCTAAACTTCTCAGTTACCGTTTTGATTGTACGTGATTGTCAGTACCGAATCATCACAGATGCTAATCCGCTTCTGACTACTGTAAGGGAATCCTGGAGCCTATCGGCTTTCTCCAGCTGTGGAAAGAACACTATTTTCAGTGTTGTTATGTTCAAGCATGGTAGTTACAACACCTTAAACTTTCTGTTTGCATTTGGAGATATTTCCAGGCTGTGGTTTCAAATGCCAGCATTGGTGCTAGGACCCGAAAACACAATGTAGCCTTTACAAGAAGGTTTTAAGTTCTAAGTGCAATATGAAAAGGAGGAAGCTGCCATCCTAATATGCTGGAGTAAGAATAAAGTATAAACTCTGACTTCTAGTATCTTTTGGAGTCAGAGCTTTTAAGTTGTGTTGTTTCTTAACTCTAAAAATCATCATCTTATTTATCTATAAAATAAAAACTTTTCAATGTTTATAAACAGAAGTCTGTCAATGCAGATAAATATGAACGGCATTTTCTTGTGTACGTTTGCTGTTAGAAAGCAGTGCTGGCAGTCAGCTGCCATAGCTTATTGTTCCCCTGTCCTTCCCTCCGTGAGTGTTTGATCACTTTTGTTGTCTTTTTATTCTCCGTGTCCCAATTGCTTGGCTGTAGCCTGAATTTTTGTGGATAGATGGATGAAACTGAATCCCTTCACCATTTCTCTACCTCAGTGTAACAGGGAGATGTCTGTCTAGACTTTTTTTTTTTTTTAACTTGCTGTAGTTTTTTAACTGAGAAGTTGCTATGATGTGTCTATTAAAAGAAGAACATCGTAAGAGGAAGCACTGAAAATAGAAAGCGATAGGGAGAACTGTCTGAGCTAGTGTTGTGCAACCATATGGCCTTTAGCAAATTCATCAGCACATCTGATGCGATGAGCCAAGGCGGGATGTGGAGCACGTGCTGGGTGCAGCAGTGGCTTGCGGAACGGTGGCTCATGTTTGCAGACTTCTCCATCAGAAGCCTGGCTTTAGATTAAAGCTGTCTAAAAGCGTGAGCTTTACACCAAACTACAGAGAGATGCATGAACTAGTTCAGGCCAATGCCATGTGTGTAAGGATTTGAGCCTGAGGTGGGAAGCAGCAATGGAAAGAAATAAACTATTTAAGCAGCGTGTGGGAATACTGCATGACAAGACTAGAAGAGAAAAGCATTTTTGCCAGCATTTTTGGCACCAGTGGAAGATAATAAACAGGTGAAGCATCACCAAGAGAGTAAACAAAGAAAAAATAACGATTGCTTTTTACTTGTACAACAGGTAGTGAAATTACTTTGATTACTGTGAAGATTTTTAGGTAGTGTCAAAGCTAATTCTCAGTTGTGGATCATTGCTTGCAACGCAAGTTGATGTAATGTAAAAGCTTTTGGGCTAATTGAGCTCGGTTTTACAACCTTTTTTAGAAGACTGCAGTACTTTTCAATTAGCTCTTGATTGCAAATGACAATAACATCCATTTCTACAGCGATGGAATTACTGAAAGATGTGAGACGTGCTCACACCAGAACTTGCTCATACCAATCTTTTCTCCAAGTGGACAGAGAAGATGAATTGCTACAACTGCCGCTTAGAGGTGGAAAAGCTATTTTTACTCATACTCTTTTAACTTAAAATGATTTACCTCAGACTGAAACAGCTTTCTAAAGCAGAAGCTGTCAAAATAGAGGCAGTGATGAAGTTCTGAGAAAAAGAATTAACCTTTACTAGCTTAGCAGTCATTTGGAGCTTTTTCTTTTTTCCCTGCCAAGAAAGTGAGTAGCTGTAACAAGGTTTATTAACACTTATCTCTGTGTCGCTTACCCTGTGGCTTTTTTTTTTTTTTTTGGCTGTGTCACAAGATCAAGCTTTGTCAGGCTGCTGGAGTGTTACTTCTGGGCAGTCTGGAGCGTCAGTTTCATTAACTGCTGTACCTTCGCCTGGTGGTACCTGCCCACCTCAGGAGAATCTCTGCCACGTTTTGTAAGTACTGCCGAGCCAGTGGGAGAGCAGGTCCAATGAAGAGCTGAAGTGAAGGCTGCAGCCCTTCGAACTTGGCCATCAGTAAGCTGCAATAAAACGTGATTCTTATGAAGCATGTTTCTTCTGGCAGCCCAGCACAGCTGCAAGCTTTTCGGTTTAGCTAAAAATATGAGGATTAAGTTACCCTTGGAACCAAACTCCAGCTTGTGCAGCATATGTGCTATTAACTGCCCTTTAATTTTCTCTTGCCTTGTCCATTGTTGTCTTAAAAGAATGCTCTCTGGTGGTTTAGTGGTTCAGCTTGTTTATTATTCTAGTAGTTAAAAAAATATATTTTATGTACCAGTCCTGGATGATAAGCTCGTTTCAACACGACTTAATGAACGAAAGCAGTCCAGTAACCATCAGTTCATTTGTAAGAGCCAACTCATCTCTGGCTCTCCTTCAAGCTAGCCCTGCAGTATCGGCCTGTGCTGGAAAGAAAGAACATGCTGCAGCCACAGAAAGGCTCTCTATTGCTCGGCTCTTCATGCTGCTAGCACAGTTAGCACACGTCAAGATGCACGATCAGCGTGTGCTCACCACTGGATCACTCTGTTTCAGAAAGAATCTGATTTCTGGAGCAGCGTGCGTGTAAGGTAACTTTTAAGGCAGAAGGAGTGGGAATTACCTGGGATGCACTGGGGAATAACGTTCCGTTCGAGTCCTTGTACTGAAAGCAAGGGAATGTCTGCTGGGAACTGGGGAAGCCTTGCACCTGGCATGGTTACCAGGCATGATGGCACTACTTCCAGTCGGTGCCTAATAAGTATCACACTTAAAGGTTTTAAGCTTTTTATTTTGTAAAAACACGGTACTTATTCTGTAGGCTGAACTGAGGTTAAAATCAACCCTCAGTTGTCTGAACCAGCAAATTCAGTTTTCCAAAGCTGTAACAGGCTGTCATACACTGAAATCCCGGTCTGTGTGCAGTAGGCTTGCTTTTGACAAGTCCCACTGAAGCTCTCTATGCCTAGTTACCTTGGAGCAGCTCTCAGAAAAGTCAGTTCCCTGCTCCAGGTTTATGGCACTTACCAGAGGCAAGCCTCTAGCTTAGAATTACCTAAATTCCAGCAAAGCTTCAGTACCCCTTTTGTTCTTTAAGAGTTTTGTGGCCACAATAAGGACTACAAATGATTTTTTGAATGCTGTTCCTGACCCAGTGCTCATCAATCTCTTCTGGAGCCCAGGCGCAGCATCTTATTACCTGTCCATGCTGGCAGCTAAAAGCAGTTACCTTGTTACTGGTGCTTCAGCTACTTTTGTTTCTACCCTAGGAGAGTTAGAGTTTGCTGCTTCACACCAGGGGTTTTCAACCCGTGATTTGCCAGTGGACTATTCATACAGAGAGCACAAGTTTAAGTCTGACGTGTTGCTTTATAGTGACTCCACAGCCCTCACCGTTGGTGGAGCAGTTCAGACTGCGGCCTGGAGGAGAAGCCCTGCTCTCAGTTCTGTACCAGGCTTCACAGCTGCAGCAGCTCCACGATGCCACGAGCACTGCTCACACGAAGGAGCCCTTCTGACGCGTTTATCAGTCGGGCTGTTCAGACAAAACGTTGCCCGAGCCGTTTGATAAAGCACTTCCTTCGGTGCGAGTATGCTCGCTGGGCTTCTTTATCAACTGCTCGCACTGCTCCAGATAAATGCAGGCAAGCTTGTGCTTGCAGAAAGAATCACTGACTTTCAAAGAGCCAGCAGGGCCGGGTAAGCCCTCCGAGGCCGCCCGGCCCACCGTGTCCCGGCGGGGCGGGGGTCAGGTGAGGCAGGACCGGGGGGGGCTGCCTGTGGGACGCCCCCCCCGGGACCCATCCGCAGCCCGCTGCCCCGCCGGGCTTTCACAAAGCACCTCACAAACCCTTTTTTAATTTTTTCTCCTTTTATTGTCATTTCGAGGCGCCGCCGAGCTCCGCAGGGGCGGAGCCGCCGCCGGCCGCCTCAGTCAGGGCCGCTGCACCCTCGTCCTCTTCGGCGGGGGGTCCTCGGGCACGCCGCTCCCCTCCGCGCCGTCCTCCTGCTGCTCTTCATCCTCCTCCTCCTCCTCCTCGTCCTCGTCCTCCTCGGCGCCGCCTACCGGAAGCCGCGCACAGGCCGCGTGAGGGCCCTGCGGGTGCCGGTGCCGCCGCTCCCCCCCACTCCTCCTCACCCCCTCCCCCTCCCGCCTCACCGCCGGTTCCCGCCTCGGGGCGCTCGAGCGGCGCCAGCAGCTGCGCGAGGCGCTCCTGCAGCTCGCCCAGCCCCAGGCGCAGCGCGCGCAGCCGTCCCCCCGGCCCCTCCTCTGCCGCCGGGCACCGCACGCGCACGGAGCGCGCCTCCCCGCCGCGCCGCAGCTCGGCCACCAGCTCCATGGCGCCGCCGCCCCGCCGCCGGGCGGCCCCGCCGGCCAATCCGCGCCGCCGCCGCTTTCCCGCCGCTCCGCCCTCCCGCGCGCGGGTCACGTGGTCCCGCGCCCCGCCCCGCCCCTCCCCGCCCCGCCCCTCCGCGCGCGCGCTTCCCGCCTCGGGCTCGCGGCCCCGCGATGGCGGCGGCGGCGGAGGGCGCGGGGAGCGGGGCGGGCGGCGGGAGCGGGGCCGGGGCGGCGGCGGAGGAGCCCGTGGTGTCCCTGGCGGAGGTGCTGGCCGAGAACGAGGAGCTGGAGAAGGAGGCGCGGGCCGTGCTGGGCGGCAGCGACCACGAGCGGTGCAGCTACGCCCAGGTGGGGCCGGCCCCGCGCACCCCATGGCACCCCCATAAGGCCCCCCCCGTAACGCCCCCACATAGCGCCCCCCACCCCTCACAACGCCCCAGACCCCCATAACACCCATCCCTCCCTAACACCCAGACCCAGCCATAGCACCCCATAACACCACACCCACCCACAGTACCCCCAAAACCTCCGTTATCCCCCTAACAAGCACCCAACCCCCCCATAACCCCCTAATAGCCCCCCCATAACGCCCCCACCCTCCTCTGCATCACCTCAGCGCCCCCCGTGACGCCCCCCGCGAAGCTGCGTGTGCCCCGTCCGTCCCCGGGGTGTGCAGGACCGGGCTGGAGGGGGCCCTGAGCAGCCCGACCCGGTGGGAGGTGGCCCTGCCCCTGGCAGCAGCTCAGAACTGGGTGCTCTGTGAGGTCCCCTCAAATTCTGTGATTCAGAACACCCCATAACGCCCCAAGCCCACGCCCCATAGCCCCCAGCCCCTCCAACCCCAGTCTCTCCCCGCAGGGCGCGGTGAAGCGACAAGCTCTGTATGCCTGCAGCACCTGCACGCCACCCGGGGCAGAGCCGGCCGGCATCTGCCTGGCGTGCAGCTACGAGTGCCACGGCTCGCACCGCCTCTTCGAGCTCTACACCAAGAGGTACGGGGTGGGGGGGCCCTGACGCCCCTCAGCGCCTGGCCCCAGGGAATGGGTGCTCAGGGGTGGCCCAGGGAGGAGGAGGTGGGGGGCTTGTCTTGGCCGGCCTGGCCTTTGGGAGTGCTGTTGGGGTGGTGGCAAGGCTGTGCAGATATTCAGCTGGCCCTGCTGCCTGGGCGGGCTGCAAGAGTGCTCTTATGGCTGCTAAACAGCTGCTGGGGGTTGTTGTGTGCACAGAAGATAAGGTGTTGTTGCCGAATCCGACCTCTGAAATGCTCTGTTCTCCTTCCCAGGAACTTCCGCTGCGACTGTGGAAACAGCAAGTTCAAGAATTTGCAGTGCAAGTTGCTCCCGGTGAGTCGAGGCCTTGGCTTCCTGCAAGCAAAATTAAAGTAACTCGGAAGAGTCTCAGGAGGCTGGTGGCTTGCTGCAGCAAGTGCCAGCTCACGTGGTGCTGCTGTTTTTCCCAGCGAGTTAAATGAGGTGGGAATATTGCGGCAAGAGGTGAAACAGTTGAGGGCCCAAAGGGCTGAACCCTGCTGTGTGAGCAGAGGAGTGGGGCTGCTGGGCCTCATTGTCCTTGACTGTAGCTGCTCGTTGTCCGTGGCCAGTGTAGTGCCAGAAACGTGTGGTGCCGGTGGTAATGAGTCCCAACAGCTTTAAGCTGGCTTCAAAGGACTTTCAGGGTGCAGTTTTTGCAGTTGTTTTATGGAATGTTAACACTGTGCTGCCATCAAAAGGATGGTTCCCTTCCCTTCAGCTTCTTTGTAGCATAAATTCTATGGGTTGTCGCCCAACGGGCAGTTTTTTCACTCGGTTAGGCCCTTGTGCTCTCATCCTGGCTGGGCAGTTTGTGCTCATTAAGCAGCTGATGGTCTGTTTGCAAAGCAGCAAGAGAAAGATGCATACCCTTCTGCACGTGGCCTCAGGCTGCAACTACGGACAGTTCTGAAGTCCCCTGGCTGCAGCTGTGTTAGCTGCTTTTAGGAAGGGGATTACCTGCAGTTGTGGTTCAGTTGCTTGTTTTGTAATTTGGACCGTCCTTTGGCATAGAGGGAGGCTTGTGTGACAAGAAATCAGTGTAACCTCAGTGGTAGGATTAAACAAAGTTGGGTTTGGATTATAGTGTGGATATTAAAAAAAAAAAACACAAAAAAACTTGGAGGGAAAGGTGCATGGGAAATCTACAGATACTGCTGCAGTGGCAGCAGGCACACACAATTGATGATCAAAACTCTTAAAATAACAGTTTTAGATGAGTAGTAGCACAAGAACACCACAGATTTTAATACATTTGTTACAAATATGGAATGTGTGTTCTTCCTCTTCCCTTTGGAACTTTAGTATTCCTTGTGTGCCCTACTGGTTACTGTATGGCATCGGTGTCTGGGTAATATCGTTGTGTTTAGATTTTTGGGCTGATGTGCATAATGATTGCTTTGGGGAAGTAAAGCAGAACAGGATTTGTTTGTTTGTTTGTTTTTTTTCCTTTTTTTTTTTCAGATTTCCATTTTTTCTGTCTTTTGTTTTTTCACTGCATTGTATATCGAAACAATTTTTTCCTTTCCTCCTAGGAAAAAGGCAAGGTGAATTCAGGAAATAAGTACAATGACAACTTTTATGGCTTGTACTGTACTTGCAAAAGACCTTATCCTGATCCTGATGATGAGGTAAGAAATGCAAAATCTAGTAGTAACAATATGTGGATGGTATTTTTGCAGAACATGCAAAGGGTGGTCCTTGAGCTGCATTTCGGGAAGATCTCACTTTAAGAACCTTCTGTTCCATGTCAATTTTTGATGTGATGTGCTGTTTAGAGTAATTAATTTCTCATGTTTTTAAATAGTAGCACTTTTTATGCCTTAAAGACAGAAAAAGAAGACAAACCATCGCTAAGACAAAATGCTGCCACAGTCATCTCTGTTGTTTGTCAAGTTACACAGTTGCCTTAGAAGATGTGTTTCTCGTTATCTTGAGAAGTGCTATGAGTGGCTATAAATGCTGTAACTGATTTGTAACAAATCAGGTTTTACTGTACTGTCTTACAAACAGCTCAGGCAGGCTTCTGGCGTGCCCTATATAAACCCGGTGATGTCGTGCATTTCACTATCTTTCTTTTGCTTATCTGTTTTGCGTTTCTGTTCACAGGAAAAAAGATACTGATACCGTGTTAACTTCTGTTAGCTCTTTGGTGTGAGAATGTCTTGCTCTACTGGGAAAACTAGTTCTGTAATAATAACTGGGAATTTCCATAGTCTTGATAGCACGACGAATTACATGTGCTGTTGAACTTGAGGGAAGCAAACAGACTTCAGGAAAGCAATAACTGCTTATTATTGGCAGCTCACTGTGGGTGGGCAAGGAGGGAAATGCAGTTCACTTGAGCAGGCTTCGCATAACACTATAGTTTGAGGCTTGTGAAGGATTCTGAAGGTTGATACCAATGCTAATAACGTGACCATTCATCTAGATTCCAGATGAAATGATCCAGTGCATAGTTTGTGAAGACTGGTTCCATGGAAGGGTAAGGAAACTATAAGTAGCAGAATTGCCATTTGCATAGAAATAAAATAGCATCAGGTAAGTTTGTATGGTAATCTTTACTTGGGGAGTTGTGCTGTAGTTCTCAAAAGATGATAATGTATGTTCTGGGGTATTTTTTTTCATTCAATGCAGGGGAGTATTAAATCTTTAATATTGAACTGCTGCTCACTCCAGTCAAAAAAAAAATAAATAATAATTAGGAAGAGTTCCACCTATTTCAAGGCTCCTTCTGTAGAACAAGGAGACTCTTGTTAGAGAAGTTATTATTTTAATTGGAAAATTCTAATCATTCAAATCAGTGAGAAAAAGATTCTTGCTGAGACACATCATTATCCACTGTCTGAATAGTTCTTCATTCAGAAGAACGCTTTTTAAACTGTAGCTACTTTAAATAGCAAGGAACAAACTACGCTGTTGGTTCCTGATTACAAACTTCAGGGAAATCTTTTAAAAGCAGCTAAAGTACTTTGGTGAGTGTCCTACTTAATGCACGAGCATTAAGGGTTCAGCCTCTTGTGCCTTCAAGGGCATGAGTGAAATTCCACTGTGAATTGTTAGAAAGTGAAGTGTTTGAAGTTGCAGGATCAAAGAAGGAAAAAGGATGATTGGCTTCAATTATAGGTTCTGTAGATACACTACGGGATTCTTTTTATAAATGTATATGTTAAGAATATTATGCTGCGTACTGTGAACTTTGTAAGAAAGTTTTCTCAAAATAAAGTAGGTAAGTGCTTTTAATTGCCTAAATGTTTCTCACTGGTTTGTAGAGAGGTTTGGGACCCAATTCTTCTCGATCCCAGTATGTGAATGACATGAAGGCTTACGATCTTTTACATATAAGGAAGTTATTTAGGTGTCTAAAGTGTGTGGTAGTATCTTAATAGGCTACGTTTAGGACCGTGTTTAGAAGAGTAATGTTTCAGAATGAGATAAAGATAGAACTGGGGTTTCTGGGTGTATACAAGGAATAAAAGTCTTAAACAAAGGTGTGTAAGTGAAGACAGATTTTTTTGTTGTTGTTTCCCATGGCATTTGGTCAACTCTTTCTGGTCTGTTACGCTGATATTTGTTGCAGAAAGGTAGCAGGACTACATGCTTGCATTGAAAATAGGGTGGCCGCTGATGTTTTACTTCATCTAAAGCTGGAGTTGAATCTGTTAATTTGCAGTGAACGTTCAACTGCTGCATCCTTGTTTCCTTTTGACAGCATCTTGGTGCAATTCCCCCTGAGAGTGGAGACTTCCATGAAATGGTATGCCAGGCCTGCATGAATCACTGCCATTTCCTATGGGCCTATGCTCCGCAATTAGCAGGTAAGAAAATTAACTCAGCAGAGACCCTGTTTCATTAGTATGTTTCTCATAGTTGGTTGATTAATGACATTATACTCTTTAAGTGGTTGGAGAAATGCTGCTCGTTATATTGGACAATCACCTACAGCAGCGAAACAGGCAGGGCTGCAGTAACTGTTCTGTTAAAAAAAAAAAAAAAAAAGGCATTTCTGATTCCTAAATCTTAATTCCCTGGTGCTTACTGATTTATTTAATCAAAG